GTGTATGGGCTCAGGGGGGCACTGGGCCGATAGGGTGTATGGGCTCAGGGGGGCACTGGGCCGATAGGGTGTATGGGCTCAGGGGGGCACTGGGCTGGGGGGCTGGCCTGGCTGAGGGGGAGTGCTGGGCTGATTGGAGGGTACCTGGGATGAGGAGCGGGATGCTGGGGCTGGGGCTCTGAGAGGTGTGGACAGGGCTGGGGATGGGTGGTGCCTGGCCTGGGGTTGTAGGGGGGACATGGAAGGTGCTGGGGGGCATTTGGGCTGAGCGGGGGGACATCTGGATTGGGGCTGTGGCTGTGGCAAGGGGACATGGGTGGCACTGGGGCTGGGGGGCACTTGGACTGAAGGGTGTGCCAGGGCTGGGGGAGATGGCTGGGGCCTGGGTTGTGTCCCCTCCCTGCCTCAGCCCCATCCCCTCCCCGACCCCCCTTGGTCTCCAGGCGGCCCAACACGCTGAAGCAGAAGAACGGCTTCCCGCCCAACTTCATCCACTCACTGGACTCCTCCCACATGATGCTAACGGCCCTGCACTGCTACAGGTGGGCCCCCCGGGACTCTGCGCACCTTGGGATCTGCCTACACGGGGGCGGGGGGGGGGAGGGAGACAGATCTCAAGGCGAAGACCGCTAGTGGGCGCTGTGTGAGCTGAGGGGCCATGAGGTCCGGGACAGAGGGCGCAGCATGCGCTGAGGCCTGATTGGCGGGGAAGGGACTGTCATCCGGTCCAGGGGAGAGGGATGGAGGCTGTTACTCTGAAATGCCCCCTGGGGGGTTCCAGCAGGACAGAACTGTGCTTTGAGAGGGTTCCTCTGGCTCTGTGGAGAGAGCGGGCTGGGCACCCATCCCAGCGCGTGCAGAGTGTGTGCTGTGTGGTGCAGTGAGAAGGGGGGTCCTGGGTGCTCAGACTGTTTCTGATGTGCAGGGTGAGCCCGTCCCCACAGGTGGGGCGCGGGAAGAGCACGGTGTGGACAGTTGGCATCCTGTTCCGTGGTGGGTGGTGGCAGCTGGACCAAGAGCTGGGGTTCAGGGGGACACTCTACCCTGCTCTTGTCTCTGCCTGGGTGGGACAGTACCCCTCCCTCTGAGGCCGGGAGGCGGGAGAAGAGGCTGGTGCTGGGGGCAGTGTCAGCCGCCCCCAACAGGGAGCTGGGAACTGGGCCACCCTTTGGGGTGGAGGTCCGTGAGCAGTCTTTCCTGCCTCCACCTCAGAGGGCGTTGGAACAGGGACTCTCTGTGAGGGAAGGTCAGGGTGGGGGCATGGGTGGGGCTGTCAGTGGGGAGGAGCTGGGGGCTCCGACCTTTGTAGGGGGCTGGGGGTGGGGGGGTGGCACTCAAGGAAGCTGTGGTTGCTGGGTTGTGGGGAGAGGTGGCCCAGGAGGGGCCATGCTGTGGGGGCATGGGCGTGAACCCCAAGTCAGCTGCTCCTCACCAGCACCCCCTACGGCAGGAAGGGCCTGACCTTCGTCTCTGTCCACGACTGCTTCTGGACCCACGCGGCCGATGTCCCTGTCATGAACCAGGTGCCTGTGCTCCCTTCTCCCACCCCACGGGGTCAGACCCGTACCCCCACTGAGGTGAGGGGACAGCCCTGTCCCCAGATCGCTGCTGCCCCAACTTGGGGCCCTGCCCCCCACCCCCGAGCACCAGTTCAGGCCGAGTCCCGGCACCCACTGGGGAGTCGCTTGGGGGGGAGGGGTGACCCTGCCCCGCCCCCACAGCGCAGGCGCCTGACTCCCCCTTTGACCTCCCAGGTGTGCCGCGAGCAGTTCGTCCGGCTGCACAGCCAGCCCATCCTGCGCGATCTGTCCCGGTTCCTGGTGAAGCGGTTCTGCTCCGCCCCCAGGTGAGGCACCTGCCCCGAACCGGGGTGTCAGTGTAGCCCGGGACCCCCGTGTTCCCACCCAGCTTCACCCCCACCCTGCGCTCCCCGTTAGGTCTCAGAATTTCTCCAAGAACATCCAGATGCGCAAGCTGTTCCAGACACTCCTGGCGCTGCCGGAGACAGGTGGGGCCGCGCCGAGGGCGGACAGGGCGGGAGCTCAGGGCACACCTTGGTGTGGGTGGGGGCGGGGCGCCCCAGGCCCCCTCCCCCCCTCACGCAGTGCCTCTCCCGCCCTCGGCAGGGACCTTCGACCTGGAGCAGGTGAAGCAGTCCACGTACTTCTTCAGCTGACGCCGGCCCCACCCCCTCCACGTCCCTCTCCGCGCCTGTCCCCGCGGGCCGCATCCTGGCCTGTACCACAGTGTAAATAAATCTCAGTCACCATCCACGGGAGCGTTGCCTCGAGGACGAGCTCTGGCGGCGCGAGCAGTCACACCAGGCGGCGCCAATGCTGTCGTTTATTGCGCGGAATGGGGGTGCGGGGTTAGTCGGGCGTGGGGGCCGCGGTGGGGCGCTGTGCCTCGGCTCCGGTCAGTACATTCAACGGGGCGGCGGCGGGGGACCCCGGCCTTGCCCCCACACCTGGGCACAGGCGACCGGCCCTGCCCCGGTGCCTATAGGGTGCCGGTCGGCTCACTCTGGGAGTCACCGCGGGGCACACGGACACAGCCGGGCGGTTATTGCGTGACGGTGATGGGGCAGCGGGAAGCCGGCGGGCAAATATTGCACTTTAAAAAAAACCCTCCTCGGACGACGGGCCACCTACGAGGGTGGGGGCAGGCGGGACACCCACGGCCATTTCCTCTCGGCCACGGGCCCCATCCCCGTCTACAGTGGGGGAAGTGAGGCACCGAGGTGAAGGGAGCCCCCTACCACGCACGCGCTGCCGCCGGGACAGGGGCGATGGGGGTGGGCGCAGGGCGATGGGGGGGCCGGCTTGGGGCAGCGGGGACTGTCCGGCCTTACCCGGGCCGCCCGACCGACTAGGCTACCTACGTCTCTATGGCTTGTGGGACGGGCGGGCGGGCGGGCCGGGGCAGCGCGGAATGGCATGGCTTTGGTCTGA